TAAAAGGTTAAAAATTAAATACAAATTTTGGTAAAATCCTAGTATACAGTACGGCCTTGGCGGGATTTTTTTAAAATAGTTGCAAACACCAAAATAAGTCCACCAGTGGCCGAGTGGTAAAGTCACTGAACACTGGTAGTTTGGTCCGAGGTTTGAATCCCATGAATGGGCTGGCTGCACGGGCATTTCGCCCCTAATATGTAATGCGTTAATACAAGCCAATTTTCTATAGAAAGCTATCCACAAAGGCATCCCTCCCTTCTGTGAAATGTCTTAAGGCAGAACATGTAAATAATAATAATCTAACAACAAAATAACGTGTTTACTGCTCACCATAATGTTGGCGAATTCCATGTGTACCATATACTAGGATTAAATCCAAATTTTCAGAACAGCATATATTTTTCCCTATGTTCTCTATTAGTTATATTTAAATACTAAATTTGTAAAAGAGCATTGTTTGCCTTATATACATTAGTATTAGTTATATTTAGCAATTAAAAACATCAAATTTTTCTTCTAGTTATGAATAATACATAGGATACATTAAAACAAAATGTACACACTCTGCATAAAAATTTTCTACAATTTAAATGATCAAAGGTTGTGCATCTTTGCTCCACATGATTTATTTGTCAAAGAAATAAGTGATCTTCTCTTCACAGCTGTTGCAGCAATACCAGTAGGAGAGGAAAAGTGATAAGTTTGAAAATTAATGACATGACAAATCAGCACTTCAGAAACCATGTCAATTAAATCACAGTTATCAAGCACTGCTTCAAATAATTCTTTTCTGAACAAGTTTTTCTTTTTTTAGTAATTGCTTTCATACCTACATTAACATTACCACATCCTGAGCAAAATAGCAATATTGCTTACATAATAAGGTATACGCAACCCAGATGGTATAGTGGTTAGGGGAGCAGACTGCGATACCAGATACTCAGAGAAGGCATAGTTGTAACTGTCCGTCCCTTCATAGGAGGTAATGGTGGCTGCCTATTAGGTGCCTCCACAATAAAATGGCCACTACTTCTGGTCTTAGAAGTGGCCAATGTCAACAACAAAAAAGACAAAATAGTGCCCGGTGTTTAAAAAAAAAAAGTAAGTTTACAGTGTTATAATAAATATATCGGGTTTTAATGAAAGATTCCCGTCACCGCGAATATCTGTGCAAACAATTCATGTTGCCATGTTTAATCATACTTTGTCAAATTATTTTTTACACCTGAAAGAAAAAGAGACTTAACTTCAGAACAATATTTTGTGAAATTTGTAAAAAATATCGTTATCATTAAGTACAAGATGTCTCAAATGGAACTATCATGCTACCAGATTAGAACCATCATTTGCTTCCAGTTCTGTTGTAAAAAGTAAGCTACAGAATGTCATCAAATCATCTGTACAGCTTTAGGCACACTATGAAGGTTTGGTACCAAAGTTTAAAACAAGGACTATGACATTCAAGAAGCGGAGCACTCTGGCCAGCCTACTGATGTTGATGAGGCCTGTCTGCGAGAACTTGTAGAAGAAAATCAGTATGCAATCACTCGAGATCTTGTTAAGGAGTTAGACGTTAGTGCCATGTCCATTAGTCATGCTATGCATCTGCAGCAACCATGTAACGAACTTTTAAATTAAATGTTAACTGTTTGTGTTTTCATGTATAGCAGTGCTACAACTAAACTCTGTACTTTTCTCTCAAGTGAAGTGAACTGATTTGTTGCAGTTAGTTCTTCCTCGTGTTTGTGCTGTTATCACTAGTGTGCATAAACGCAGCGTGATCTGTTTTGTAGACTGTTCTTGTTTCTTCGCTGTGTAAATTGTAAATAAATGTGATTAAATAAGTAGATTATTTGTGAATATGCAGAGCCAACCTGCCGTACATCGCATAAATTTGATGTAGAAGTTCACTTGTTGGGTGCCACATGAACTGGCTCAAGCAGATATAGAGACATGTTCGGGCTTGCACTAATTTGCTCAAATATCAACACAAGCACAAAATTCTGGACCGGACCATCACTTGTGATGAAAAGTGAATTTACTTCAACAACATAGGCTGCAAAGTGGGTTGGTCTGCATCTGGTGAGCCCATAGGCAACGACGCAAAGTGCAATTTGACTAACAAAAAGATCATGCTTTATATCTGGCGGGATTGCCTTGTATTATCCACAAATTCCCTGACAGTAAGGTGTACAGCCAGATGCTAGTCCGTCTTGATGCTTCTATCAAGGAAAAACGTCGAACTGAGTTCTAGCACAAAAAGGTAAAGGTTTATTAAGATAATGCAAGACCATACGTTTCTTCATACACCTTTTGGACTCTGTATAGACTCGAGCAGGATCTTTTTTCACACCCACCACATAGCCCAAACATCGCTCCTTGGGACTTCTACCTTTTTTCACACCTGCAGCTCCATCTTTCATTGTGCACAGGATGTCCAAAATGAGGTTGATCTAATTTTGGACTCATGGCCACAAGGTTTCTGGGCTGAAGGCTTTGAAAAACTACCAAAACATTGGTAGAAAATCATAGGGCTCTACTCTTATATGCGCCCTAAGATCACTAAATGTGGCAATATGTGTTCTGTGCTGGTTTTTGGCGCAATTGCATGTTGTATGGCAACCCTTTCGACATTGAAAACTCTTTTGCTAGAGTGGTTTAATTGCTCGTATCTTGTACAACTATTTTTTCGGATGGCTGAAAATCTTACAAGGATTTTGGAAAAGAAGGTTTTGAACATTTATTTGTGAACCATAGTATGAATTTTGTGGATAGCTAGGCTGACTGTCATATAAATACCATAGAGAGTACGTGGTGGCATGTTAAAGCTAGGTTAATCTTTGGATTATGGTAACTCGGCAATTTTTTTTGGCGAAAATTTGGCAACCAACCCTGCTACAGCAATCTCCAAATTTTTTTTTGAACACCATTTTGTTTTCACGAAGTAAAGGGATTTTTTTTTTTTTTTTTTCCAACAATCTGCTAGCCGAATTACGCTTATGCTAGAACTTTTATGGAACAAAAGTGCTTAATCATGATGAAGATTAGGTGCGAAATTGGGAGAAGTGCAGAATCACAAAACTGCTTGCCACGTTTTTAAGATTGCACATACACGGTATCATCCATGTACACGTCGACCTATTTTCCCTTAAAAAAAACCAATTGCACAAAAAGGCATTGCGCATACTCTGACTTATCCATGTACACTGCTAAAATCCTAGCTAGCAACCTTTATCGCCTTACCAAAATGTCGCCAAACTACCTGTTACCATATTCCAAAGATTAGCGTAAAGCTACGTTCCAAAGAAGCATCCATTATGGTAAGTGCATTTTATTTTATTGTTTTTATTTTGTAGAATGTTATGTTCATTGTTTTTTTATTATGAATTTCTGTTGTTATTGTTGTTTTTTGAATTATTTAATTTATTTCAGTTAGTTTATTTTGTTGATTTGTGCTCAATGCCTAGATTGTGCAATTCGTCGATTTTTTTTTTAAAGTTTAAACAGAATGCTGTGTACATGGTATTCTTTGAAATTTATTGTTGATTGTTGCTATGTCAATTTATTAAAGCGAGATGTGCATAGTTCGTAGATTCCTTTGCTGGCTAGATTGCGCAATTCGTAGATGTTTTTCTAAGTTAAAAGATATCGCTGTGTACATGGATTCTTGTCAAATATTTTTGGTTAGAAACTTTACATTTTTTCTATCTAAATTTTTTGTTTTTGTTTCAGATTTTTAGCTTAAATTGTGTATTCAAAACATGGTTTTTACTTGTGCGAAAACTGTGTTTTTGGAGATATTTTAGGCTTAAAGCTCAAAATGTAGACAAAAATTTAGATAGTAATATGGCACCATGGAGATTCTTGCCAAAAATGCTTGGCGAGAAATTTGTTGCCGCATCTGGCAACCTGAGGGCGCATATAAGAGTAGTTCCAATCATAGATTTGGATGGTGATTACTACCCGCACTAAAAGGTACTTCTTTTATTTTTTTCCTAACTTTATTAAGATTGTTTTTTGGCGGAAAACTTTTGTTACAACCAGATATTTAGATCAAGAATTTTTAACATATTGTCCAGTTTCATCTTATTCAGCCAGAAAGGTCATTTGGCTTAATCCTAGTATCCGGTGCATACAAGATTTGGCTACTTTTGGCGACTTTATGATGAGCAGTAAAAACGATGAGTATAAAACATATACGATGAGTAGTAAACGGGTCATTCAAAGAATGTATATAGTTATACATAGTATGTACTATGTAGTGATAGTGTATAGTATATACACTATCACTACATAGGCGCACAGGCGTTCGAGTCATTTTTGGTGTTGGCGATAATTTTAAAAATCGCGCCAAGGCTGCACCGTATACTAGGATTTTACCAGGTCATTTTAATAGATTTAGCTGAGGAAGAATAACTTTCTTTTTGGATATTTAAACTCAATAAAGCTTACAGAAGCATTTACCAAGCAGATAACAGGCTTCTGTTTAGTAATAAATATTCAGTAATATAATTTTTTTTTTAAATTTTGAAACACATTTTTTTTTTTTTTTTTTTTTATACATGGAAAAAAGAAACACTAAATTAATCGCTAAAGGTTTTAAAAAATTTCATTAGGAACATAAATGAAAAAGAAACTTAAACAAATTAACATACTAATAGATATCTCTAAAAAGTCAAAAATCAATATACTTATAAGACTTAACAAGTATACAGTAAATGAGTATTTTTCTATCTCGGAGTATTTTTTAAAAACAGCTATATAGAATGCTAAAATGGAATGCTATACTTCTTAAGTACATGTCAAGGAATTATGATAATTTTAACTACTTGGGAGGGTGTTTTGAAATAGCACACTAAACAGAAGATTGCATATTTGCATATAATTAAATTGCACACTATTTCCTATAAAATAGAAATGCACATCTGAAAGCACATATTTACCCTTTTCCCAAACACGTCAATTTCAGACATCGAAGGTTAAAAAAAAAAAAACCCTTATTCTAATATGCTTTACTAATTAATACCATTATTGTTCTACAGAATGTAATTCAAAAAGTTTAGCAACTTCTGTTAAATCATCGTATGTCTTTGATTCGCTGATAATTTTTCTTGCAATAGGCATTTTAGAGAAAACATTCCAAAGAATAATTCCAACAATTGTATTTTCCCGTAAATAAAAAATAACACCTTTTCCATAATTGTCATCAGATTCTGGTGCTCGTGGTACTTCATTTTCAAATGATTTATTTTTATCCACTAACTTCTGTTCAGTTTCAGATCTAATACTTTCTCCAGTGCTATCAACAACAGATTTAGGAGTGTCTGCTTCAGTTGCTTTTGCAAAAACACCAACTGTTGGCAGAGATGAATCTACAATTCCGATAGCTTCATAACCAATTTCTGGACCTAAATCAGACCAAAACATTGATTGATGCAAGTATGGTTTGCCAGCTCCAGTCATATTTTCACCAGCTAAACGACCACTTACAACTGCATGATCATGATGCTCAACTCTACGTCTTCCCAATTTTATATCATAAAAGCATGATGCATCTCCAGCTATCCACAGATTTTTCCTTGCCTCCATTTCTGCATTTACTAAGAAACCACCATAATTTTCATCTATTTCAAGGCCTGAATCTTTCGCAATCTGAGTGTTTGGATCAGCTCCAACAGCTACTACAACATGATCAGCTGTAATTATTTCATTATTACTTAAGTGTAACTGTACTTTTGTTCCTTCATTTGACACAGATTTAATAGTAACTTCAGGTATAATTTGTACACCTTCATTCTGCAATTTCTTAGATGTCCATTTACTTAGATATTCTGGAAAGATCTTTCCCATATTTCCAGATTCTGGAAAAAGTTGAACCACTTTCAAACCTGTGCTTTTGCCTCTTTTAGCAAGTCCACAAGCTAATTCACTTCCTAAAAATCCACCTCCAACAACTACAACCGATTTTATCCTTCTAGATATTTTGTCTAATTTCTGGAAATCTCGAATATTTCTAAATACGGTAACATGCTTTTTTACTGCATCATCAGACTTTTCAAACACAGGAAGATTTTTGGGTTTCGAACCGGTAGCAATAAGACATTTCTTGTAAGAAATTGCTTCTCCATTTTGTAAATAAACCTTCTGTGAAACAGGGTCAACTTTAACAACTTTTGTACCTCGTATAACAGACACACCACCATTCTTGTTTTCAAGCAGCTCTTTAACTGAAAAATAATAATCCGGTGATTCATAAAATAAGCTTCGATCTTTTCCATTCCACTGAGTAAAAGTTAGCGTCTGAGCCACATCTGATTTGTTATCAAACCACATTTCTTTAGAAAGCGGTGGTCGCATGTACGGTAAGAAGGCTTCTTCTCCTATCATTAACACTTTCGCAGTGGGATCTTTCGTACGTATGGCTCTAAAGGCAGTGAATGAAGCACTTCCGGCTCCAATTAACAAATATGGTATTGGTCCAAAGTCATTTAGCAGTACAAGATCTTCTTTCAGATTTTCATACACAAATGGTTTCTCGTCATCTTCATCGACCTCTGAAAGTCCTGAGGAAGGAGGGCGCTTATTAAACACAAAATAAGCATATACAGCCGCCCCACCAGCACCTGCTATACCAATTATAAGAGGGATATTTTTCTTTTGTTCAGTTTTATTGCTTTGAAACCTAACAAACGGGCGAAACTTCGCTGCATTTGTAGAATTAAGTAAATATCTGCTTCGGTGAGTGCGGTTAAAAGTGTTGAACGAGCGATAACAGTATACAGATGTCACAAACGTTTCAATACTTCTTTTTATAAATTTCTGATGTCCCAACATTTTTTTTTTTTAAAGTTATTTCGGCACAATGTCAAGATTTATCGTATAGATTTCAAAACTTGGTACCGGTGGTAAACTACACGGTTGATAAAAATATACGACTTGTTGCCACTTAGCGGGAAATAAAAAATGCATAAATAGTCGCATCTTCCTTCAACACATATTCCCAATTCCTTTTTTTAATCTTAAAGTAAGTTATGATAAAAAATAAATAATAATGTATTAGATTTTACGTTTTGAGATTAAAGGGCTTTTTCTACCATTCTGAGTTCTCTCAGTTAGCGATGATGTAACGTTCCAGCCATGAAGTCATCATATAAAATTTTCTTCAGAAATGACTTATTACACCAGGTAATCCCCTCCCCGTCCATTATTCACGAACAGTTAAGTTACTTAAAAACGTGAAGGCGAAATACACTGTTACATTCGGTAATTATTGTTTCAGATTAAAACTATATGTCTTTAAACATTTTCGTAATTAGTTCTGGAAATGAGTAAAATGCATGTTACCTTTAAATGCATTTTAACTTTTTAAGGTAAGTTATAATCTAACGTAACCAGTGAGGGAATTTGTACTTATCTTGAACATCACAGACATAACAAGCGTATTAATAAATATAACTATTGTTTATGGCCCCTAACCGCAAACCAAACTGACCTCCAACAGCACGGCACGTCGGTGCAACGTTGCAAACGTGTCGCATTGTGACGACCTCAGTGTCGCAGTAACGTTGTAAGAATGGCTTAATGTCCGCTTTTTTCGACGTTACATTGCGACGTTGATGTGAAGTCAGATTGGGACTTGGATGAAGTCATATTGTGACACTGCTGTGAAGTCACGCTACGACTTTGTTGTGAAATTACACTGTAATATTGTTGTGAAGTCACACTGCGACATTCATATAACAACTCATTTCGACTTAATATAAAGCTATAGAGTCACATGAATGCAGCATAATAAAGTGCCAAGAATATAATGTCGGTAAAGATGTAAATGGATGTCACGCAATACTGGATTACTTTCTAAATGATTAGAGTGATGAACTCCTATTTTAGAGAACAGGTAACTACAACAATGTTTTAATGATCCAGTAAGGTATTATACTTTTCAAGTTATTAAAATACATCCGCAATATTCGAAATTTTTTAAATAATTGAAAATATCCAATATAATCATTTGAAATTTATTCATCTTACTGAGGTTGTATCTCACCTTATTAAGGTTATACAACTGTAATCCATTTATGTTTATTACATATCTGTATAACCTTTTTTAACAGTTTGGCTTTTAATACTGTTTTTTGTTCTTCATTTCTTTTTTCCTTAATTTCTTTCCTTACAGAAAAAGAGCTAAATTATTTTGATAACAGAATGAAAGAAAAACTGTTTTAGTACTATATTTTTCAGGACATTTACCTAATTTATTATCTTGTTATATAACGAAATGTTTCGTTTTGAATTAAAAGCTTTTATAAATCAACACAATCATAGATTCCAAATTAGTTAACAACAATCTTCGTTTCCAAATTAGCCACTTGTTGCTTAATCTATAATCAGAGTCGTAGCTAGGGTTTTCAGCGCCCAGGGACAACTGAAGATTTCGCGCCCCCTACTGCTTGCCAAGGATGGAAAACATTTAATTCTAAAATGCCGTAATATCAGTTTGGTGCCCCTTGGATTCTGCGCCCGGGGACAGATGCCCCCTCTTGCCCCCCTCTAGCTACGCCCCTGTCTATAATACTGAACAAATTGTTATAGGTACAAAAGTCAGTAGCTGGAAAACGTGGTTATGGAAACTAAATTACAGGAAATAAATATTTATACTTAAGTTATATTAGCTATACAAATCCGACATTCTTTTCACCATTATTACTCCATTGACAAATTACAATTTTATGAGGTTTTTAAGGTATAAATTTAAAATAACTGTCTTACACTGCACAGCTTCAATATATTTAAATAATTTTATTAAGGTAAAAATATCGTATAATTTGTTTCATTTGATGATTAATGTGAATCATTTGTTTTAAACATTTCAGCATTTCCTAAACGCATTTTTCTGTTCTCTTAACAAATAGCATATTATGCAAAAGCATAACAAATTTGCATGAATAATATTCCAGTTCATAAAACAATTATTGTTACCAAAGCTGACTTTCGGAAAATCTGTACTACTCACTTTGAGAATATACACTATACTATGACCTTCACAGCAATACTTAAATACCTATTCGTAGCTCATACGGTTAAACTGAATGAAATCGGCTGTTTATGCATTAAATACAACAAGCTCCTATTTAATCAACACATAAGGGGAGTAAAACACTTAGTAAACACTTATTGTATATGACTTGAAGAAAGCGTAATAATTATATATAATAATTGAAAATAAATTTAAATATTATTATAAGAATGAAGGGATAATCGACGAGAAAAATACCAGAGATGCATGAACTTTATAGAAGCGCGCAAGAAAAATCAATGAAGATTTTTTGCTATCCACATATTTCTACAAACAGACCATGAAATCAGGACATTTAGAATTATTTTAATACGATTTTTTAGAGCAAAGATGAGGATTCGGAAAATGTGTTTTGATGTAAATATGAAGTAACATGAGATATAGGCATTCTTGCTATCCTTCTCCTTTAATATAAACACAATTCAGTTTTTTATTTAATTTAAATAATATGAAGATATCATGTTTTACAATGCATACTTTCAAAAGTTATTAATTTAATCTAAATGAATCTGTACAACACAGAGCCGTACCGTTTTGGGGGTGAAGCAGGCATTTGAAAATAATGGGGCACATATACTGTATGTATAAGAATTTGGAACGTAATAAAAAATGTTTAGGAGAAGCAGTTATGAGATTAGTTTCAGATATTAAAATCTGATGCTTTACTTTCTTTAAGGTACTTCACTTTTTATTAAACTGGACTTTCTTTAAAAGTTTTCATTTGATTTCTTTACTGAAATCAGAAATGATTTCAAACTGTTAAAATGTCAAAAAGGCATCAATACAGTTTTAACAATGATGTTATAGTTTTTCACTAGACGGGAATAAAGAAACTCCTAGTATACTTCAAATGAAGAGAAATAGATTATTGATTCTTAATATAACAAATGAAAACATAAGTGAGGTGAAATATGAAAACACGTTTATGCCTTTCATTTTAGAAACTACGCAATTAAAACTGAATTTCAGTTATGTACTTAATTTCAAATTGAAATTGGCTGTATTTATGAAAATTAAAAGTAATTCCACTACTTAATTTTGTAGGAATAACTTTACAACTTTTGTCAAAATTAAAAAACAACGAAAATATAAAACTCCTCCTGTTACATTAAAAAAATATATTTGTTTGTCCCACAGTATAATGCACCGCAATTATACGGAGTTTCAGAACCTTCAATTGACTCTCCAGGAATTGACCTTCTGTTAAGAAATTTGCAAACAAATTTATTTGCTTATTTAAATGTGACAAAGAACTGAAGTCTGTCCCAATAAAAAGAATTCTATGAAGTTATATTTTACCTTAAAATTAGTTTTTCTTTCCCTGTTTGGAAAAGACTTTACTTTAATTCATCAGTGTTTTATAATATGCGAATTTCCAAGTTATCACAATGAAATTTTTAAATTCCTTTATGAAAGATTCCTTTCTTAATTTTTCTAAGCTTTTCAAATACGATTGCAGAAATTAGTATCTTTTCAATGTCTATTTCTGCAAATGATGCATTAAAGCAAAACTAGATGCGATAAGTTTAGATAATTAAAGTAGGCGTAATTAGAAGGTTAGGTGCAATTTTTAAGGTTATAATAACAAAATAAAATATCTTGTTTGCAGAAGTGAAATATATTAATTTAAAATAAAATTATTATTTCGAATAAAATTTATCGGTGAAGCTTAAATATACATTTCGATTAATAGTAATTTTCATTACATTTTAAAATTGTTTGCAATAGATTAAATTTTCTTAAATACAATTGAAATTCGGTTTCTTTATAACATGAAGGTAACTTGTACTTTTAGAGACAAATTACTATTAATTTATCTCTTTTGTCACAAGTGAAGTTTTGACTTCCTTCATATATAAGTAACGATGAAATGTGAATTTCCTTATTTTTTAGATTGTTATCATTTAAATAATTTATGCATCTATTTAAAAAATTAAGTAAATTAAAAATCTCTCAAGTAACAAATACTTTTGCACAGGTTTTCAAGTTTTTCTTAATATATAAAATGAATACGAGTTAGTTTCCTTAGTCCTTCACAAAGGCAGTGTCCTTAGAAAGTCCTCCACAAAGGCATCCCTTCTCTTAAGTAGAGAGCCCTCGTATGTTTTGCCGTATTCAAATAATTTGACCTAAACTAGGAAATATTTTTCTCTAACTAATCTCTTAATAAGGAAATTAAGTTACTTTAGCAACACAAATATATTATACGTAAAAGTGCGACATAATTTGAGAAAAGAAAAGATCTGATATAATAAATTTTAAAACCAATCTCAGAAATTTACATATAGGAAACATGTAGAAAGTTCAGTGTTTTAAAATAATACACCATTTGTAAAGTTATAATAATTAAAAAAAAAAAAAAAAAAAAAACGGTTCTATATAACTAAAACGTGGTTATGGAAGTATTGCATCATTTATAATGCGGTGCTAAGTACCACGCACGGAAGTAAGTAATTATCTTGAGAATAATTTCGAAAAATAGCTGAACATGATGAAAGTACTGCAGTAAAAGTTTTCGCTTTATCTTTTAACATTAAAAACAACAAAAAGTGAATTATATCTATCAAATAAACCTGACTCCCTAAATTAAAATTTCTAAGCAGTGAGACAAAAATAAGATGACTTTTGATAATGGTCCTTGCTTCCGCACTCTTTTATAATACAAATAAAAGTTAATCTACTGCCAGTATTTCTTTTTGTTCATAGCATTTAAATTACGCTTTTATTATTACATATTAATTATTACTGATATCATTCACTTCTTTGTACAATAAACAGCGCTTACCTAAAAATGTAGCACAGACGATGTGCTCGGTAAACAGAACTAAAAAAATGGTCACGAAAATCCTAAAAGACAAACAAACGCTATACAGACAACAAACTCTTTCGTCAGTCTCTAGGCACACTAGATACAGTAGAATGTGAATCCATTCACCACAGAATATAGTTCAATGATTTCGAAGTACCACATCAATAAAAACACGCTGAAAACTGTCAATATTTTTAATAAAAAAGAAATAACTAAAATTGCAAGCTATTAGTATAAAAGAATCATTTATTTAGAAAGGTTTACTGAAACACATAGCAATGAATCGGGGGGAGAGAGGTCAGCTCGCGAGAATACCTCCCATTAAAGAAGAATTACTCGAGCAAGGTCAAGAAAGGTCAGAGTGGGGAAGACTGCGAATTTCTTGTCGTCACATTAAACGTTTGCTGCGACGTGTATGTGACATCCGTACGACATTCACATCCCCATCACAATGCGACATTTCTGAGACGTTGTACCGTGGTCACAAATGTAATGTAAAGAAAATGCAACATTGAGAGGTCACTGCAACGTCATAGCAACTAAGTGTGCTGTGTGGGGAAGCTCTTCCGGAACTCGTTTGCCCACCAATAGCGGAATGGTAAAATGGCTGAACGTTACCCCAGCAGCAAGGCGACGTTGCTGTCACAATGAAAACGTTTCACAGTGACATTGCAGGCATGGTTTAATGTTTTTGTGACGTTTATGTGACGTCGTATGAAGTCACATTGTAATGTTGATGCTTAGTCATGCTGCGACGTTGTTGTGAAGTTACTCTGTGAAGTTGTTGCGAGGTCACACTGCGATATTTATGTAACGTCACATTGCGGCATCATAGAGCGACATGAAGCAGCATATAAAATGGTAAGAATGTAATGTCAGTAAAGATATGAATTGATGTCTCACAACGCTGTATTACTTTTTAATTACTAGGGTAATATCACAATATTCCTGTTTTAGAGAAATGCATATTTAAGACAGGTTACTACAACAAGGTTTTATTAATCCAATAAGAGATTATGTTCTTCAAGGAATTAAAATATTTCCGTAATATTTTAAATTGTTAAATTATTGAAAATATTCAATAGAGTCATGTGAAATTTTGGTTGTATCCTATTAAGGTTATATAACAGCGATGCATTTATATTTTATTACATATCTGTATAAAACACAGTGTATACGGAACATATTACGCATGATCCAAAAATAATCATATGGTCATTTTTTAAGCATATTACATTGGTTAAAAAGTTCTTATATCATAATTCTTCTATTTGAATCAGTTTTAGTATTAAGATTTATAATATCGATTTTCTGTTGATTGCTTATTTGAAAATTAATCCTCGTCCATCCAAATGTCTTTAATTTAGTTAGTGCTGATAAGACTAGACTGATAAGTACTAGTGCTGATAAGGCTGATAAGACTGACTAGTGCTAATAAGTAGAGGAAGACTTGAGTTGGATTTGATTTGGAGTCTTGTCCCATCATGCACATAATAGTATGTATGGAAAATCAGCTCTAGTCATAGCTCTGAGCTTTGTTCTGCTGGAACTTCTAGAAGACTGAATCTTGACCTAAATGTTGTTGCTAAAGAAACCAGAGGAGGACTCACGTTCAGCCATTCGGTCACATTTAAGCGACTTTGCCCCGATTCCAATCTCCCATCAGACCTCTGTCGAATTTCTTCCGACAAATGATACCTCGAAAGGGTTTTTCATAAACTAGATATTTTAAATTTCTTGTTTCATATTTACATCGGAAATTAAAGCCTAGCTTTGAGACATGTGTGTCTAGGCTAGTATCTCATGACGCAAACTGATCACATCACAAGTGTTTTGCGTACTGGAGTTTTATTCAATATTGTTTCCTTAGGTACACACCAAGATTTCATATGCGTTTGTTTATTTTTTCTGAGTTATTGCATTTTTGTCTTTTTCTTAAATTTTGGAAGCTAGTGAACTAGGGCAGATAGCCTTCGATTACTTTGCTGTGATTACAGACAAACTAATTTTTAGTTTATATAACTTTTGAACTTCAAATAAGGTAAAATAAAATGTAATCCATTTTCAGAAGGGTAATAAATACAGTTTTGGAAGCACAGAACACAGAACAGCCATTTATGTGTTGAAATCATTGCTTTATTGATGTACATGAAACATTAAAACATGAAATAATTTTCACAGAAGTATAAAACATGAATCATACCTTAGGTATAACATTAACAACAAAAGACATGTATCTGTAATTATTCTACTTAGTAAATAAATATGCGGTTTCAAATACGTCCCCTAAAAATAAACTCCAAAGAGAATTTTATGTGACTCCGATATCAGTATTGAAGCAAAAAATAGACACTCATTCAAAGTTTCATGAGTACGTTTCATAAAGTCATTTACAGGGAAAAAGTTCACAAAAATAAAATTGTCCTGTCTCAGAAGTACAGAAACGAAGTTATTTATATCTTGTAAGTGAAACAGCAATTAGAACAAGAGCTTGAAAGCTGTCACTTAAGAGGAGAAACTATGCATTAAATTCATGCAATCTGCCGTTCTTTGAGTACATTTAATGTCAGCCTTTTGCTGTCAGCAGTTCTAAAGCCTTTTAACAAAAAGCACGCTCAGTAAGCTGCTATACATAACACTGCCCCGCGAAGTGTATTTCTAGCATCGTTGGGGAAGGAAACCTATCTTTGACTTAACAACTTTGGGAAAATACGTTCAAATAACGAAGGAGTTTTATGATATTTAATTATTAAAATAAAAAGTTCTCTAATTTCAAATGAATCAGACAGAGCATTAATTATAGAGTGACTATGATTTTTGATTTAAAAGATGCCACAGAAGCTGAAAATCATCTCATACTTGAGAAAGTATTTCTGAAAGAAGCTCTATACATAGAAATAAAAAAGAAAAAATGTGCGATTTTACTATTAATAATACAATGAATTTTGATTTTAATTTGGCTATCGTTAACTGAATAAAATAGAAGAATTACCTTAAAATTTCTTTCTAGTGAAAACTTGTGAAAACATTTCGTTCAAATTAAAATTGTTCTGAGCATGGGAAAAGTATAGCATTTAATTCCGTTCAGAATGAAATGTTTAAAAAATGTACTCTTTCACATACTTAGAACTCTGAAGTATTATAGAAAACAAATATTTACATTTATACTTACATTCACGACGTAATTACAAATTGTGTGCTTCCGAACATGACAAAACCTACTCATCTTAATGGCAAGTCACTAAATGTTTTGCTAAACAAGGAAGGGTCACCGCTTCAAGGAAGTGTATCGAAAAAACCACTTCGGGCTTCTCCCAGTTTTCCTTCCTCCATGGGCCGCACGAACGGTAGAACTTGGGGGAAGGGGCAAAATTTTGGAGACACCTTGAGACAGAATCTAAGTTCTTAAAATTCCTAGTGCTGGCCCTGACGTGATCTGACACAACTTAAAATTTTCTAATCAGGATTGCAAAAGGGGAAGGTGTTCACAGATAAATCATATCGCATGCGCTGTAATCATGACTAACATCTAACAAGTGACACCACATTATCTTCGCCAACATAACTGGTTATTGGTAAAGACCAGATTCAGTATCTTTTATAGGAATAAGTAGAGTAAGGAAAACAAAAGTTTAAGGGGCGCAGTTGATTTTTGTTATGACACTTATATAATACATTAATAGCTGCTTTATTTTTCTTGATGTCCCTCGTAGCTATGACTATCAAGAATTTGAACATATATTTTATTCGAATATTAAATTCTAATATTAATGGATTCGTCCTCTAATATATTTCACTAAATATTGGTCTACCTCTATTACTGTGGAACTTGTTTATTCTCACAAGGCTCTATTTAAATATTTTAATCAAAAATATCGTTTGAGAAAGGCATACGTATAGGAAAATATGATGTAAAACAGTTCTCTGTGCAAAATAATGCAAAATCAGTAGAAATGGTTTTCAGAAGTGCACAATAAATACGAATCTTTTTTCTTATTGTGTATCCTCCTTTTTTTTTTTTTTTTTTTTTCGTTTTTTTACTTTGGGCATATAAAATTAACCATTCAGCGTATTTCTTGACAAAAAAATAAGCGTAGGAGAAAATTTATGAACCAAATATAATTCAAATATTTTCAAAATAAAGCGACACGAAAAGTTGCCATGTTTCAGTTTTTAAATACTTGTGTACGGCTAACTACCGAATAAAACAGTTTGCGAGCGCTGTCAAAACATAACTATGCATAAATATAAATCTCATATATAAGGTTTGTTTAAAAATTGAGATTCAGTCATCGAATAATGATTAAGCATAACGTATGTTTTCATTGATATGAATGTTCACTCAATTTCAACAATCCTTATATATACCACTTTCTTTTACCCCATTTGTAATTCCTTTTCTCATAAGCCGGAACTTGTGCGTTTGTGAATTTCTTCTTTCGCTCTTTTAATGAAATTTCTTTAGAAATACAGAAAGATGAAGAAGATTTCGTACTTTATTCGAGACGTCTGTTTTCATAACACGCTGTATGATTTTCCATGGCCTTACTCCAAGCATGGGGTATGATTTTCCATGGCCTTATTCCAAGCATACTTTCGTGAAACTATCTAGACCAAGAAACCCTTTTGAAAATACTCCATTAGTTATGTCGATGAAAATTAAGAACTGTCCTGCCCCTTCACATGCTGTTGAAATCTTCTGAATAAAAGAAAATTATCTTTATGTTAAGAAGATTTCATTGAAACTATCACTACTTGCAGACATTTCTTCACAACTAGTCTGGAAACCTTCGATGGTGTGCTACTAAGAAGGCACTGGAATATGATATATATGGAGTCACTAGTTCCTAAAATATGCCATTCTGCTATTTTTTGATATGAAAATGGCAAACAGAAAAGCAGCTATAACATTAAAATGTGAAACTTGAAGGCTATTTGCTGCAGAATGTTTCCTCTTGCCTTTGAAGATATTTTTGTTTTTCTTATATCCTATGGTACTCTTATTTTTGTTCAAAACTACTTTTGATTTCTTGTCGGGACCAATGTGAGTTTCAGGTCTTAAAGCATTTCCTGCCAGCATGTTGCGAATTCGAGGCCAAGAACCATTATTGCTGAGAGGCTCCATTCCCATGGCTCGGCATATAGCACCATAGTGGTCTACCATTTCTAAGGGTGGTGAAACAAAACCCTTCTTGAAAGCTGCAAATAAAATTAATCATTAAACAAAGCTTAAAATTTCATGCATTTTAAGCAATGTTATTAAAACCATTTTAGGTACGTTGAAAATATTACAATAAAACTGAAACAAATATTTCGTATAAAAATGGCCTTCGTTTCAAAACAAACACAGCTTCCACTTAAGAAATAATTCGTTATGAAATGTTTTGTTTTGGGATTTTTTTTATTCAATTTTACTTCACAGTGTTATTTCCCTTCACTTCTTAGTAGCGCTTTTCTACCTTAGTTTATTCACGGTATTAACCTGACTAATTTTACCTCAGTATGCTCTTTTTGATCATTTTATCGGATTTAACTTATACATCACAGATGTAACATGGTTACGAATAAAAACTCAAAAGAGTCCTTCCTATACGCAAAGTATTTTTTCTATATTATGTGACATGAAAGTACTGCAGTGCATTCTACCATAAAAGTACAGCAGCACAGCTGTATATTCTTAAATTAAGAATGTACTAACAATGGAAACGCAATTACATGCACAAATTCTGAACAGTTTAAACGCATCATAGTTCACATGTAATTTCGAGCTCATAAGCGATTCTGTGAAAGCGATGAAACATAAATATGCTCAGTTTTTTATACCCAACAATGTGTGGAAAACTAAGTTAGAAGAAATAAACTCTGAAGTCTCTGAAAATATTTTAATGCCTACCAGGTTTGTTTTCCCAAGATACATTAATGTATCTCATTAATAGATTTGTACGTTGTCATTCAAGCGTAGGACTTATCAAATCCTATGCTTTTCAGATATCTAGGTAACTTTTATTGCATCTGTGAATATCCACTACTTCATTTTCTACTCCTAAAACCTGAGAAAAGAAGCAGTCGTGGAGTTGTGCTCCACCGTGGGGATTAACATTTTCAAAGACACAGTTAGAAAATAATATTGCACACGGACATAGTGTCACCAATACACTATGATCAGCGAAAACTATTAATGCTGCAGCATGTCTTACCCCTCCCCCTCCAAAAAAAGGCGGTCATTCAGTTAAAGCAACCCAAACCCTTAACGATGGAAGAAGACTTTAGCTAGATTATAGCATCTTTTTTTTTTTTTTTTTTTTTTTTTTTTTTTTCTTTTCTGAAAAGTAAATAGTGGCAATTTAAAGAATTTTTGCTATATATACAGTGAAGAATGTCTGCTTGCTTGCGCTTTTTATGTACTATCAGTATTTTTAATGCTAGAAGGCACTGATGGATTTATAAAGTGGGAACACATTTTATCCGAGTTTTTGAGAGACCCCCCTTCATCATTAGAAATATATGTCTCGTAATCAATCGTCATAATCTCGTATCATCGTAATATATGTCTATTGCCTTTTAAAAAATTAAACAATGATCTTGGGGTCCCTTTTACTTTTGAGTCTCTGGCGATTATGACCAGCGTGACCCCTAAATTCGTCTCTGCTATCGTCTGTTAATTTAAAATAGGCTCATCAAGGGCTTAACGATTATTCTCTCATTTGCGATCGGGACATATGTTGTCATCACCTCAACAATAGAGTATTTTATCAAATTAAATGGTTCTATCTTTTTTTCTGCAGGAGTCGTTAACATGATTATGAGGCATAGTTTTGGAAAAATGGCTTTAAAGTGCCTGTTCTAAAGTAACGGATTAGAATTGGCATTTTTCTGCATAGAGTTTTTACACATTGTTAGTTTTCGGATTAGCCGAAAGTTGCTCTACTTTCATTTTATATTAAATGAATACTTTTATTATTCATTGCATTAGTTTATTTAACAGCTGAAAACACAATCTCCCATATTTTGTTGTTTCTTTTCCATTGCTTGAAACTATTTGCAATCTATTTTTGTTTCTGTAATAAAAATGTACCGCCCGGTATAGTGGTCAGGGAAGCTGACTAGCTAGCTTTCAGTTGCATGCTTAGTGTTCTATTTCTTTTTGGCTTCCTTCGCAATATTAACTGAAATCAGAAGTTTATACGAATTTACGTTACACTTAAGTGAGATTAAATGATCCCATTTCTGAATTATAACTCATGCTACTGCTGAAATCACGAGCGAATTACTTATTGTTGCTTACGTGCTCATTGCTGAAATGCTCGTGAGCTGTTATTGCCAGTGACGTTTAGTTCTCATCTACAGGTAAGTGGAATTAGAGATTTGTTTGTTAGGGTAAAATTTCACGTCTCTTCTTGTGTTGAACAGGCACTGACTCTTGTGTATTATAGAGGTAGTTAGTATATTGAGAATTTGTGTCTCAATTTATCGTATCATTTGGACGCACCTGTAGGTTGCAGCTCTTAAGTTTTTTTCATCTAATAAGGTGACTTACCTGAAGATTAACGTGGTTCTAGTGACACGTAACTAAAAAAATAAGAAAAAGTAACGGGAGATTTTTTTAGCGGAATAAAGCAAACTTTGAAACTGAAACTAGAAGTGGTAAGGCTTAACCTCATTCATGCTAAACATATTTTAATACACAAAGGATTTCTTGAATTTTAGTTATGCATAAGCTGTCCCCCATTGAAATGAAATTTAGAAGTGACATTATAAGGTAATTCTCTCGCCTTCTTAGCGTGCCTTCGTGGTGTAGTGGTCTGCATGCTGGGCGCGTATTCCATAGGTCCGTGGTTCGATTTCCGGCGAAGACGTTGCTCATTTTCATCTCTCCTGCTTCCAATTAACCTAATGACTCTACAATATTACAAAATTTTGTACGAAAGAGAATTCTTTCTTCTAATGCTAGCTTTATGAAGAATTTAAATTATGGTTTAATCAAACTGTGAGATAATTATACTTACAAGGACCTCTTGCATAAAATATTGTTCTCATGTCTTTTACTTTGTATGGATCATAGCCATGGTAACCTTTGAATATTCTTTCAGCAAACGGTTTCATGCGTTTCGGATCAGAAAGCTGAAAACAGAAACAAATGATTATATATACAGACTTTCCTACTCGCAGGTAACACAGTGTAGACACTTTTTAATGGTTATTTTTAATAGGGTAATAAGAGTCACATTTCTCATACACTTAGGTTCATTAGCTTTATATTCGTATTATTTTATCATTTTAAATTTTTACATCTGCTTTTGTAAATGAATATTTCCGAGATTCATTCTAGCATAATGTTTTTTAGACAGCTGAGGTTCTTTTTAAGTACTATTTCATAAAACATTTATAAATCCATGCGTTTCTTATTTGAATAAAAGCACAGGTGATGATTCAATATTATCTAATCACATGCATCTGAAGAAAATTAAAGGAAATGCTAGATAGTAATTTTGTAAAATATGAAATTCAATTATTGAAAGACATATAAAAAATCGAATGTAATTATATTGGAAAGAGTACATGTGAATAAAATAGATACATTGAATAATAACAGTCTTCTTTATTTAATAACAATCTTCTTCGATTTTAGCACCTCTATAACTTTAAGAGGATAAGCGATAAGTTAAATTCAGAATATATGATGCGAAATTCAATAACAAGTAGCCATCGTTATATAAACCAATGAAGAAATTGTTAACGAGTTGAAAATTAAAGTGCAAATCTTTTTACATTGCATTATTATGCCAAGTATGACTTTTTTCAAACACTAGTTCATCGAATCATTTCAAACTCATGATTATCATTGAATTAATAATTCAAGATATATTAGTTTAGAACTGGGATTTAAAACAAATATTGTTTAGAATATGCCAGCTATGCTATAACTGCTAACTCTGTACCTCAGTGGATCAAGAACCGAGTTTCATAGATAAGCAAAAAATACCTAAGCTACTTTTGGGTTTTGCATAGTTCATTGAATAAGAGCATCCTAGTTATGTAATTGGAAGATTCCAGGCTCATATGGAAGGCTGAGCATATATAAAATAATGCAGAATGCGTTTTAATAATACTGATGTTATCTATAAAAAGCAGAAAATAACTCTAATTATGCTACCATACTTAATTTGTGAAAAGAAAAAGCAGCTATAGCTTACTATAACTTCATTTTCTGGGCATAACGACACAGTCTTTAAATAAGTAAGAAAATTTGATTATAATAATACGTTTATATGTTATACTTTAGCTGTCGTGCTCATTAAATGACCTTAATCTCTGTCAAAACTCATAGCTGTAAATTAGGTTTACTTAAAAAATTGCAAATCCTTTACATCTTCCCAAAACTTAAATAAACTGAATATTTATAACAAAAAACATGGGCAGTTAATCATCTCACCGCTTTTATGACATAACCTTCATCCGCAACGAGTAGAATGGGCTGCACTAATCTGTGTCTCTTGAAATGATAATGCTCTGGTATTTCACTCTTCTTATAAACTGTAAGGCCTTCTATATCTGCTCTTTTCAATGACTGGTAGAGCTAGAAAGAAAAAACGATTTAAAAGAGATGCAATTTAATAAAGACCAGTTTATCAAAGTACAGATAAAATAATGTTAATTCTCGTCAGTTTTATTTTAGCAGAAGTGCTTTCAGGTATTGAACATTGTTTTTGTCAGATAAACCGCGACAGCGTTCAATCGGTGAAAGCGTTTCTCTTAAAAAAAACCTGACGCCAAATAATATTAGTTTAACTGCACTCAGTTTTACTTAACGTGCCATTCTTTTCCATTTTATCGAATCACTTCTGAGGATAATTTTGGGTAGAAAATTAAACATTTTGATTACTAATAAAAAAATTCGCAGGAAGAAATTAATTCTTCATTAAGAAGTAATTGAGTGCTAAATTAGACTATAAAATTTTATATTTTACTTTCATATCATTCTAATGTGATACATCAATTTATATCTTTCATAAACCTCATAATCTCACTTTTTTAGTAGGTGAACAAGTTAATAAGATAATTATCAGCTTTCAATATAATTTATGCAAAAGCATTGCTAATATCGTTTACATTTTATATTTCCTTCGTTAAAAAGTTCTGGGGATATATGAATAAAACAATACTAGTACCTTGCTTACTTCTTCCCCTTTCTCTTTCTAGCATTTGATTTGGAAATTTCTGATTTATGATAGCAACGTACAAGGCAGACAGTAATATGTATCGCACAAGTAAAAGAATAGTTTTGAGAGTGAAAATTGTAATTGACTTATTTGAAGTATAGAATACAGTGGTATTAATGCATCTGTACTTGTATGCGCTGTTTAATCTGCCAAAACCTTTCTATAATCCCATCCGTCAGAACATGGTGGTGGAAGTACTTCCTACCTCTGAGGTCAGAACTGGTATACACCGTGTAATTTCCTTTGAGGATTTTCAAGAGCTAAAATTAGTAAAAGAAAAAGAAAAAGATAAGCGAGTAAATAAGGTATAATGTGCAATTGAATTACGTGCAAGTGTAGGTCCTACCACTAATCGAGTGGATAACAGTGTAGTTGCACCAAGGTTCGAATTCCGGGGGGGGGAATGGCCTTGTTACAGGAATATTTTTTGTGGTTTTTACTACTTGCAAAGAGAATTAGAGCTAGATTGCCTTTGAAAGTCCTCCATGAAGACATTCCTTCCCTTGAGCAGATAGCCCTTCCATACTTTTCCATGAAAAATTAAGCAAGAGCGATTTATGCAGATTTGCACTGGAAGTGCTGCTCTGTTAACTGTGAAATAGCTATAAATCAATATGAGTATTTTAGTCTCTCAATTATTAAAAAAAATAATTTGCATAGTTAAATTTTTTCTCATACTAATTATGTTACCTTCCAAAATTCCTTTAATTTAATTAATTCAGCACAATTTATGCTTATTTGACATTAGAAATATCGGCACTAACCCTCTTGATGCTCTTCTGCTTTTTTATTTTTAAAACTTATTTAAATATACTCTATTGCCCCACAATGGTGACTTATTGGCTGACCTCAGTGATCTTCAATTGGTACCCTATCTATGAGCAGCTGTCGTGACGGGCACTGGTGGGCTTCATTTCCCTTTTAATTTTAAAATCCAAATATACCACATCACACCGCACCAGTGATCTACTGCTATTTATAGTGTGGGATCGTGACCATTAATTTGTAAGTTATTCCGATGGTGGCCATCAGACTATAAGTCACTGGTAGCAAACAACCTTTACAGTCAACGATATGTGCTTCCGTCTAATTTTAATTAAAACCTATCAGATTTTAGAGCACCTCTAATTGGCGGTAACTCCGTAAAGTTATTTGAAATTCCTTTAAAGCTGGGAAACATGATCAGTCAGCGATGCACTTGATCGGATTTGAACTCCAGACCTTTCGAATGTTAGCCAAACGTGTTTTGTAAGTATACCACAAAAGCACGCGATAAGGAAAAAGAAAAACTCTTTAGAGTCTGTGGAATCACCTCCAGTGACTGTCCATCTACAGATCTCCAGTGATCAGCTTTGATGAGCACCGGTGTACTGCTGCTAAATTCTAATTTAAAATACATTTAAATCTCCTACATTACATCATATCCATTAGTTGACCCCAAGTGGCCTTCAAAACACTGGACACCAGTGACCAATAGCTTTGATGGGTATCGGTTATAAGGTACCAGAAGTGGGCGCAGCCCGATTCACCTAACCAAACCATACGGTCATATCAGGCCACGCCCATCGGTTACAAGGTATTTTCTTCTCCTTCCAGCATGTCTTCGTGGTGTGACGGGTAGCACACTCGGCGCGAATTCGAGAGGTACAGGTTCAGGTCCCCGCGAAGGCATTACTCATTTTCACGCCTCCAGCATAAAAAATTAATGTCCCTACAGTGGCGCCCGAACTAAAAGGTGGTGGATAATAATTCGTAACCACCAAGATTTGGCGAATGGGTCCCCTAATCCCCAGTCGTTCTTTAAAAGGGGTAGTATATAAGGTATTTTCTCCCTCCTCCCAGCATGCTTTCGTGGTGTAACGGTAGCACAGTCCAAGAGATTTCGAGAGATCCTGGTTCAACTCCCGGCGAAGACACTGCTCATTTTTCACGTCTCCAGCATAAAACAAAACCTAATGTCTCTACATGGTGTCCTTCTACTTAACTTTTATTTAAAATTTTATGAAAATTAACTGCATCGCCGCATACCGCTGAGCAGTCTGTTGACTAACTGTGACTGTCAGCCATCAAATAACAAATGACCAAATACTTTTAGAGGTACAGTTAACCTTTGGTATAATGCCACTTAAAAAAATTTATTGCACTACCCTATCAGATGCCTGTGTCTATAAACCTGTAGGTTTACTGGTGATCAAATGGACCTGACAGGTATCGGTGCGCTTTATTTTAATTTTAATTAAAAAATGCATTAAAATGTACCTCATCACAATGAGCACTAGTTAACATAATAGTCTAGGAGCTGGTGACGAAAGGCTTGACGAGCAATGATGTCCTTAGATTTAATTTTGACGTTAGAAAAGTTCTCAGTGGAATCTCTCCATAATTGTAACAGTAAAAATATCTTAGAAGAGTGTTTTAAAAAAGTTTGGACTGTTGCGGTATGTTGTACTATGGTGGACATATCATCAGCTCATCTTGGGAAATGTTTTCACTGCGCGAATGTTTAATAAAATGTTTATCTTGCGCGTGTCTCGCGCATAACCAGTACTCAGAATGATGTCATTCGCCAAAACTACGGACCAATAATACCAACACCGGACTCCGATAGTTAATTTATCTTTCGAAATTTAAGAAATTTTTCATTGCTAAATCAACTGACAGATTTAAAAGCAACAAACACATTTTTTAAAACAATCCACACTGATATAACCTGGAGCGGATTATATTCGGAAATCCATCAAAAAAAGTTAAGTGTTTTTATTGTGCAGTGATGATAAAATTATTATCACCAACAAGCAGAGTAGAACAATGTACCTGCAGAAAATATAAAAGGGAAGAGAAAAATGCATGGGATTAGAGTAGTGATAACAGATGATGACTTTAATATTTGAGGGCTGTTTTTGCTCACAACAGTACATAATGTAATTGTACGTTACCCGAAATTCAAAAATATCGTTAAAAGTAAATTGCTTAGTCATAAAAAAAAATCAAGAGTAATTCACAATTAATTCCTATCTAAATAGAGGAGTAAAATAAACTAAAATATTGTTTTTTAGTTGTTTTCTTTTTGTTTTGAATATGATTTAATTTGCAAAGCGAAATATATTTTTCGAGATTAAATAGCTTGAAAACACAGGTAAATTACTTAAAGTACTTTTCTGCTATTTGTAATAGGTGTAGGAGTATCCTCTTACCTATTTTCTGCCTTATTATAATATGAGTTATTTCTTTTCCAGCGCCGCGTTTTACCATGGTAAATCGAGAGATGACTATGTTACCGTGAAAGACCGAAATTGGAGAATGTCGACTTTCACCGGAGAATATCAACATTCACCAAATACGTCGGTGAAAGACCGAATATTTCACTACATTCTTGTATATTCGGACCCTCACCGGTGTATGTCGACAATCACAGATATGCTCTGGTGAAAGTCGAAAAGAGAGGTCATAAAGTGCCATAATAGTTTAAGTTGTTGCAATAAATAAGATTTGAATCACATAATTTAGTAAGTTTTTTATTACTGTTATTTTATTTTCTCATTTAGAACGTACTGTATAATTAAGTAAATTTTTAACTTCTATTATTTTCCCTTCTCATTTTGAATGTATTGTGTGTTTTAGGTTCTCATGTTCTTAAGTACTTATTTCAAGTCTCAACTGCGTTTATTCGCGACTGAATTACAGAGAAGAAAATATAATATTGTTATATGTTCAACATTCACCATACATTGACCGGTGTAAGTCAGAAATAAGAGTATTTGGAAAATATTTCGGACATACACCAAGAGACTATGTGAATGTTGACATTCACCGGTGAAAGTCGACATTCTCCAGATTTCGGTGTTTCACCGTAACAACTACATTATAAAACTTTATTTTGTTTTTCTAACTGATATTAAAAATATAATAATGTACGTAACTTTACTTCATCTATCTGATATAAATTAAGTATACTGTTGAAATTAATAAAATATTCTGACGCCATATAAGCCCTTTGTTGCATCATGTCCACTCTAGTAGACAAAACTTTAAATTTGTTTATTCTTCTGTAAATGCCTTAACAGATTCCATTCCTGTGTTTATTCATTCTATATTATTAGAACTTTCAACTGTCGATCATAGATGGCTGTATAGCATCACTAAGTAAAGCATTGCTATTTGGAAAATGGTTGCTACTTCTGTTTCCAAGTTAGTACAATTTCTCATAGTAAACATTATATAATATTGCTTACATTTTATTATACTGCCATTTTTTATTCATATTTAGTAATTTTAGACATTTTATTTTAAATGTCAGCTTGAGAAAATTGTGGAGTGGGTAGATAAAGATCTACCGAAGAAAGTGAATTGAAACCCAAATGTACTGCTTATCGAGCCAAAACACCACTGGAAATGTTTATGTTTGGCAAGGAATTTCTAGAACATTTGATATTTGAATCCAATAGGTACAGGTTACAAAATCGTAGCAAAATGAATTCAATCACAATCGACGAAATGAAGGTATTTTGGGGGATCTGTATGTACATGTCAGTTGTAGATTTACCATTTAGAAGATGGTAATGATCACTGCAAACAAGGCAGGAAATGATTTCAAATGCAATGACCGTAAATCGCTGGGAAGAGATTTGTATGCATGTACGTATATGCATGCTGTCCACTGTAGTGAACAAACTGTTGCAATTATTTAAAACGAAATTTGAATAAAATTAATTTTTTAAATTATTACTAAGCTTATTTTAAGTAGAAAAAATACAAACACTTTCGTTTAACTTCTCTAGATAATTTGTATGCAACAAAGGGTTAAGTACCTGGACTAGAATCATTTTAAAGAGATTATTTTCTTTTTAAAATACTAAAAAAGTTTAATATATTTTTGTAAAATAAAGAAATTTATGTTAAGCACAGGGTGAATAAAATGATCTGATTTCCGGTGGTATTATTTCTAAATTTACAAACACAGAGGTTCATACGACAGGAAGCTGTCGAAACGTCACGTAAAGGTGTTTGTGGCTTTTTTAGATTAAATGAATAAAGAAAACACGATAATCATATTTTTGCTATATTTGTTCCAGTGTATCCTTTATTATCATCTCTTTAGCAGCAATGGGTAATTGCATCACTTAATTAAGAAACCCAAATCTCTGTTTTGATAACATTCTAAAACTCTGAACCTTTTCATCTGCTGTGTACGGAGTTTTGCTTATCTGAAATCTAGTCATTCACTATGAATCCCCCTGTATTTGAAAACTGTAAAATAACTCCATAGAGTTTCATAAAATTAGTTTCATAAAATTAAAATTCCTTGCATTACTGGCACTGAAATCTAGCTTACTTGTAGATGCAGTAATTTAATTACTATTAATTCTGTAATTTCCGACAGCTGTGAGTAAATAATTATTTGTAATTCGCACAAAATTCAATGTTAATTAAACCAAATGACTTAGATATCTGAGTTTTTCAAATTTTCCATCAGCTATGCCATATCACTGCATGCTATTTATTTCTAATTAAGAACTTAACAAAGTCTCCTATCTTAAATTTATACAAAACTTGACATTTGAAATAGAAATAAGAGAAGATTTTCTTTTGTTGCAGTTTTGACAAAATTTATGCCTATTACTACAATACAGTTCTGAGAATTAGTCTTAAAATCAGCAAATAACCAAATTAGAAATAGATTAAGAAATTTAAAATATTTTACAAGCATGCGTTGTCTGAAATGTGGTGGATATCAGCAATTAGAGAAAATTTATTCGATAGCAGTATGCCTAACTGATTAATGCTCGACTTAAAAGCTTACGTAACAAACAATAGCAAGGGGTATTAAAATTTGTATTTTCTCATATTATATTTCTCTTTATTCATAATTTTTAATTAACAAAGGCTATTTTAGGCATAACGTAGCTTTATATTATTTGATATCCAACGAGAAAACAATACCGTTGAAGCTTATTAACAATTTATTATAATTTTGTGCAAAATAGGTTCTTTGATTAGAAACAATTTTCAAACCAAGTTGAAGCATAAAACGTATTCTAACTGTCACATAATTAAATTGACTTTATAACTAAATACTAATTAATACTTAGCTGATCAACGCTGATTTTTATTTATTTTTTTTATTTGATACAAACCCTTTCTTCCGATCCTTCTTCAGGTAAAATCATGGAAACTGCTCCACGATCTAACATCAATTTTAAGTCTTTTAGATTAATGGCTTTCTCTATGTCGATGACTTTTGGTCCTTGAGGATCAACAGCTGTCATACCATGGTCTGAGACAACGATAAGATTTACCTTAAAAGAAAGAGCTCTTCTAAGTTTAAAAGAATCAAGCCATACACTTAGGTAAAAAGTCTGAAGCTGAATTGTAAAGAAATAAACAATGAGGAATAAAACATAAAATAGTGAAGTATGAATGTTATTTTTCCATTGTAAGAATCGTGTTAATTTTATTAACAGTTAAATTCCTTTTCCTATCGATTTTAACTTCAACTTACTACTTCCGGCCAGAACGTAGTTTCAGAATCACGTCTGAATACATAATGATTAAGAGCGGTATTTAACCTCGAAGTTTTTCGGTCGCAGTGGTATTCATCACAATCCCAAGTGGTAATCTTGTAAATACTGTAAATATTGTATATATTTTTCTCTGCTTATTTAATCAAGATTTTGATTTCTTAAATTGTGATGTATCATGTGACCTCTATGGTCAAATCAGGACTCTGTATCGTCGTAATCTTTGATTCGTCGAGTTCACTCACGTGACCACTGTAATTCGTAGTCGAATTGAGAGCTCCTCTCTCAGTCAGAGGATAGCCGCTTCTGAGGATGGACGTTGAAAATCGCAGCTCACATTTTTCATCCTTATTGTCCCTTCCAGATGTTATTCAGGACTGTTTCTGCTGCTCTGGACTTTACTGCTCGCTCTGTCTTCCCAGATTCTGACCGTTTGCCATTTTTCGCTAAATTCCTGACTACCAGACCGCATTTCGATCGCACGGCTTATCTATCATCGCCACTACCATTGCTTTTGCCTTACTAGAAAATGCCATATGCTTATAAATTGCCATTTTATGCTTATCAAAATTGCCTGATTATTGCCTAGAAAAACCGCATGTGATACATTTGGCATATTCGCCTTCGGATGAGGTGTGTAAGCACCGTTTATTTTCTCATATAACCGGTCATCGGCACGATATTAACTGACAGGATTAAGACTCATTGAAGTCAAGACCAGTTTGTAACAGAAAAAGATCCGATCCGGTCTTGGTGGTGTTTTGTCTGCACGCTTTCGCCTTTTTAGGGTACTCTCTCGTAAGCTATTATTACGCTCGGCCGTACTTAAGGCCCTTGATAGCTTCGCAGTCAATTAGCGTTAAGGGGCCAACTCGGTCAGAATCTTGATAGCTTCGGCTATATCTCTTTAGTTAAGATTAGTTTAGTATTATTCTTAGTCTCTTAAGTTCAAAGCCCAAGTGTCGGCTTTATTGTACACTCAAAGACGGAGTTTGTTAAACTTTAGTTGGAATAATAAAGTGCTAGTTTACCCTTCTATCTTGTTGTTTCCTGTTACACGAACTCAAGCGATTATTCGCTTATCAGCTTTTAAGATTCTTCACGTTCAACAGTAATTCAGCATTACACTGTGAGGAATCCTACACCATATATTCATTATTTTAAATTAACAAAAGGCCATTTTAAGTGTAAAAAACTTGAGTTTATTACATATTCGCCACACCACTGGCCAAATGGTTAAGACTGTTAAATGCTAAGTGTTCGATACCATGCAAACGGGCTGGCTGCGTGACTGGTTTTCTTGACTCTTCCCATATGTAAAGTGAATGCAACATTCTCCACAATGGCATCCCTTTTCCTAGGCAAGTACTCCAACTGTGCTTTGCCTTATTCAAATAACCTAACCTAACCCATATAACATACCCGATAAAAGCTATCTATTTTTAACATCTAACATACAGTGGCGGTTTAAAAGGAGTAACTTATCTAAACATTATGAAAAAAAAAATTAGGTATACTGATTAAGTTATGTGAATCTTGAACTCAAAACACCACGTCTGGCACCAAACTGGTGCTTTTAGTATTTTTTTCATGGGGATGAACAAATCAACAGATAATTTTGTTAAGTGGCTTAATATTAATTACATGTAAGAAAAAATGTTAAAAGTATTATATAAGAATAATTTGTATGTAATGTAATTTTAGTGCAAATAAAATTTTTAATATTAAATTATTTTAAAGAAAATTTTAGATGTTTTGAATAATTTAATGTAATATGTATTTTTAATGTAAGTATAATTTTTAGTATCGTATAAAGAATTCTTCTTATTCAACTCTTCAATAATTCTTAATGTAATGAATAATTTTGGTGTAGGGATAATTTTTAATAAGATATAATAATGTAATTTTAAATAGTGTAAATAATAACAATTACGTTAGTGCATAAACTGTGCTGTTAAAACACAATGTACTGGTATTTTGCTTCCCTTTTAATTCTTAGAAGCTGTTTTTTTTATAATGTTGTAAAAAAAGACATATAAAAGCTGAGAGTATTCATGTATTCTAAACAATTAATATTATTAGTGTCTGTAAACCTTAAGCCGATAATTACGGTATTCATAAAGATTGACATGGTTTCTGAATAACATTCTGAAAAATCTTGTTTTTTTATTCTAAGATAGCAAAATATAATTAATCTGTACTAGACTAGTTATTAATAATATTACAAAATAATCACAATAATATATTTTGTAGCAATTTTTATGGTATGTATTTTTCGAATAGTATATACAATGACTCTAAAAATACTTACCTGATGCTCCATTCCTTTTTTGGCAATCTGATCTTGAATGCTATTTAAAATGGAATCGATATCTCTCAAAGAACGAATTCTGTCCTCAGAATCTGGCCCACGGAAATGCCCTATAGAGATAGTACAACAGATTCATGTAAATGCTTATAATTTAAAGGGCATTAAAGATTTAAGAATTTGAATTAATTGTTCAGTATTTATCGAAACCCTCAGATCATAGTCGGGCTTAAGGAAAGAATTATTATATTATCAATATATGAACAAGGAAAATTTATAGTGTGGTTATAATTAAATAGGCCCTACTCAGACTTGTGTAAAGCCCAACCTGCTCTACGTATTTCATTGAAATTCATTGTATACGTTATACGGACCACGGAAAAAAGAAAATTTCAATAAAAAACAGAATTTAAAATTTTAGCCATTATCACGCTTTTCATATAATGTGGAAGGGATTTTATGCAGATTACAAATTCTTAAAAATGCCACTCGTCAGTATCATAAAATCATTCTTCAGCCTGATTTTAGAGAAGAAAGGTTTATTGGTCAAGTTGTTTCGTAGCAGAAAACAGGAAAAATCAGCAATACCTTCGGCGGGATTCGAACTGCGGAACTTCCGATTGCTATTGGGACGAGGTTCCAGCTACTCCAAGAAAGACATGCCATAAGGAAGGAGAAAATTCCTTTCTTTTTCGTCTACTTAACGGGCAGCTCGGGTAGAGAGAATCCAGTCACTATATCCAGGGGGTGACGAATTACCTTCCATCAGATTTTTATTTGTGGAGTCTACTTATATATATTTTTTTCTTTTTTTTTTTTGAAGCGAGGAAACATAAGAATCAGCTACGTCTTCACGGATATTCGAACTTTGGACCTCCTGATTGATAGTCGGAAGGGCTTCTAATTACACGAGAAAGACGCGCGATAAAGAAAAATAAAATTCCTTATAAAGTTATTTTATCATAATTGTAAGATTTCATTACACTGCAAGAATAGCGACATTTGAAGGGCTTTCGAAAAGAGCCTATGTCGAAGACTGGTTTGAAAAAGATGTTTGCTAAATTTGAAGAGACTGGGCACTTTGGTGTACTGTCAGGTAGAAGACGGAAGCAGATATCAAATGAAACTGGAGGAAGTCGCTGTTTCTAAGGCTGACAAAGAGTCTTGTTCCCGATAATCTTCGGCAAGTGCTGGAGCGGTGTCAAGTGATTTGTATATCCCTTGACCTACGGTACGAAAGATTCTGCGATCGATTTTAAAACGGTATTCTTACTAGATCCAAATGGTGCTAAATACGCGCACTCAAGACCTGCATCAACGTGCTGATTTTTCTTGCCACTTTTTGAAAATATCAGCCGCTGTTTGGCATGAAACATTTTGTGGTCAGACAAAGCTCATTTCGCACTAAACGGAGCAGTGAATTCTCAAAACTATCGCATATGGAACCCCATAGTCCAGTGTAATGTATGTCTAATAATGATGATAATAATCAACAAGTCAATAACCGAAAGTCCCAATGTCATGCATGAACAGCCTCCACATTTTTATTTACGTGATTGTATGGTATGGTTTTTCTTTGAGGAGAGCCTACCATATGGCTCTAAATGGTAGATTGTGACGAATACCATTTACTCAGAACTTCTTCAGCAGCAAGTATGGCATTCCTACCTTAAAAAACAAGAATGTTTAGGGTAGAGGTGGTGGTAATTTATTATTATATAATAACCTGAAATGTTACATGCTCCAGACATATTCTAAAGTATTCCAAATACAAGCGCAAAACTAGAGCACACTTATAAAATTAAATGTGGTAACAAAATGATAAATGCTGAGATGACAAAGTGTATAAAACTCAGATGATCTGAAATGTGAAACAAGAATAAAATTAAAAAAAAAAAAAAAAAAAAAGTTACATTAAAATACGCAGCATTAAAACACAGAAGAAAAACTTCGAAATTAAATTAAATTAAATAATGAGGACCTGTCTCTTTCAGATACAGATTTAGAATGTTTAGGGACTACTCTCTTCGTGTAGGATTGTGAAAAATTTCACGTTGGCCGATAAATGAAAGAATTGCTTAGGAGGTGATCGAGAAATCTCGGGAAGTTTTTCGAATGCTTGGGCTTCTCTTTCTCTGGACTTGAATCTCTATGACTGCTTATAGTGGTTCTTGAGAGATTGTGTCTATAGAGGACGCATAGTACACATCCTGCCTGAACTGAAAGAAGCATAACATGTCATGTTTCTGCAATTCTTTAAGAAACCCTCCGCTATTATGCTATAAGACAATATTACTAAAGTATTTTCTGTTATATTGTATTATACTATTGAACATGTTATAACGAGCTTTGACTATTTAGTTGATCCAAATGAAATACGCGTCAAGCAAATACTATGATTAATTAAAATTTTATGTGCCTAATTTGTGTTTCTTGTTCTTTATGCGCCACCTTTGAACCTGGTGAAATTCGAATTATTATCTTTTACGGATTACTTGAATTATTATCTTTTACGGATTATTTGACGGATTACTTGAATCATTTGTAGTTTCCTCCACGGCCCATATAACGTACATGCCATACATTAACGAAGTATATCAACAGGAACGGGCTCTACTTAGGTCTGAGTAAAATGGCTTTGATTATAACACCCCTGTATTTGAATTACTTTGAAACTGCTGTAGCTGAAAACATCTTCATTAAAATTTCAAGCATTTAAAAACAATTTAATTAAAGTACCAGCTAACCTTGGGTATTTATTGTAAAATTAATATTTTTTTCTACTCTTAGATTTGAATGAAATTTTAATGTTTAAAACTTATTTATATGTAAAAAATTTGACATCTATCATACAGGTTTCATGTCTCTTAGATTTTAAATGAAGCAAATTTTAATGACATCGAAAATATTTGCGTATACATTAAATACTCGTATGCTGTATTTATGTATTATTATTTATGAAGCAATGCCAGATTTTTGTACTATAGATATACGAGTATTTTATTATATTTTATATTTATTTCCGTTACGTGATGCATTTCCTTGTTAATCAGAACGATTCTATTTTTCAGTAGCAACTACATCTGTTAAAAAATAGCATTTATTATTTATTCAACTATATATGTGCTTATGCAAGCTTAAGCTTATAATAAGAAAATACTGTTATTTAAAATAATTGTAATTTTGTCACGTAAGATATTCGAAATCAGGTCTTCGCACTCCAGCAATCATTGCAATCGTAAACTACAAGGATTTCAGTATTCTCCTGTGTTACACTCATTTATTCGGAGGTACATTTAAAATCGAAATATCATTCCAACACCTACACTGATGGCAGTAAAGCTTCGCATTAATCTTAAAAACATTGACTAGAACTCACCGTTTGCATCGACAGCTTCGTAATATACAAGACCTAATCGAAAGTTGTCTTTCTGAAACTTATCCAAGAGATCTGTCATGGCGTTCAGGGTGTCTCTGTTTACTTTCCCCCATACCCAATAGTTGGCGTATTCTTCGCATTTCGTCGGTTTCTTCCCTTGAATAAGAACTTGACAGCCATCCCACCAGTAAACTGCAGACTTTAGATCACGTTTCTCTGCTGTTACCCATATTGGTTCCGCGTCGTTCCACCAGTGAGGATGAGAAGCATTGGAATGTAGCGCCATTAGAAACAGATCATCCCTTTCAGGATCATACATATAGTTTTGGACTATTCCGTGGTTTTCTGGGTATAATCCTGAATAAAATAATATATGTTAAAAATAAAATTTCATCAAATTTTCATCTAGACATTATGAGATAAACAATTTAGAAAATACCACTGCATCAGGACTATAAAATTTCAGAAAAGTTTCCAAAAAGGTATACCTCTTCTTAGACATATAGTCCTCGTACGCTTTGGTATAGTTTTTAAACACCCCCCCCCCCAAAAAAAAATTAGTTAGAAATAAGAAAATACGTTCGCTCACATCACGCGCATATAAGCCCATAACAATCGAAGATAATTTTCGGTTTCTTAGATGATAATATTTTTCAAAATTTTAAAACAATTATTGTTTTATTAATTTATTATTTTATTAATTTTATACGCAAGTTATGTTTAATATATTCAGAAATCCTAAACTCCTAAAAATATTCATATAATTTCTAAATGAATTCAATGAAAAATTCACAACTGAAAGCAAATTTACTTGAAACCAATTAGCTTTTATGTATTCTGTATGATAGTTTGACATCAGGTCAGTGGCTTTCATTCTAGAGAAGTTTTTCAATTGTTTGTTTTTTTCTCTTGCGGATAAGAAGTAATGCAATATTCATGTTAGTAACAGAATTAAAATATTTTTAGAAATAGATCAGTCTTACATCCATACTTAAATTACGTAATTTTTGACGGATTACTTGAATCATTAAGTAAACGCAGCTTAAATTCCGCTGCATACTATGAAACAGAGCCATAAAACTAAATTAAATTAATGAATAAACCAAAAATTAAATGAAAATTATTTTCAAACTTGTATATGGGAATAAACTTAAATAAAAAAAATTTTGAAATTCGGAGAAACCTTCTCGAAATTAACTAAATGTAGCAATGCTAAAATTGGTAATAAAAAGGTAGAAAATTCATCAGCTGTATTCTTGTTTGTAGAGTAGAAGACAAATAAAATTCTGTGAAAAGATTTAATTCGAATAATCTCCTTCAAAGGTCACAGGCGGAAACATCACGACAAAAGCGTCGCGGAGAAAACAAAGCAAAGTGAAAACGTTATCATACAAAACACCGTGGAAGAAAGAAAGCAATGATAAAACATCGCAGCTTTAAAACATCGTAGCACAAAATATCGCCGTCGAAAACAAAGTGGTTAAAAAGAGTCTTTCTAAAAACATCCTAGTCTAAAATATAGTGGTAAAAAATAAAGCACTCACAAATCACCACATGACGATAATATCGCAGACATGGGTTTTTCAGGCATTAAAATTTGTAAATGCATATTCGCATAATGATTTGTAAGCACAAGAATGGATGACGAATAATTTTACTTTTATATTTTGAATTGAATAAAACGTTTTTGCTAAAAAATTAAGAACAAAACTTAAGCATTCAAGAACTAAATTATCTTTAGTTCTTGAATGCTTAAGTTTATGCTTAAGTTAAGAAAATTAATGCTACTTACAGAAGTTAACAGAATTTTATAATTTGAAAATTACTAAAACAATTTTAATATAGTAACCAAATGTAGTTACTTATTTTCCTTTTCTAATCTCTTTTAGACTATATTTTACATGAAAAATTATCAGTAAAGCTTTATAAAAGAGATTAATTAATTAATGACCTTTATTATTTAACTATGTAAATTTAAAATTCTGTTAACAACTATATCTTGCATTATTTTTCTACTCATTTTCAGTTTCTGAGTGCTTAAATTTCCTTCTCATTTTTCAGAAAAAATTTATTAATTAATTCAAAAATATGAAATATAAAAGTAAAGCTATTTCTTATTCCTTCTTGCGCTCACAAATCGGTATGAGAATAAGCGAATTTTTAAAGACTGAAACCGTGTGTCTACTATGTTATCACCATGATTAGTGGGTGCTTTACTTTTACCATGATATTTTCGACGACGATGTTTTTAAACTGTGAGGTTTTTTTCAATCGCTTTATTTTTCGGTGACGATATGTTGACATTACGATATTTTCTCCTGTCTTTCTTTTCTCCCACAATGTTCTATGCAGGATGACGTTTTAGCTTTGCGTTGTTTTTTTGCACAACATTTTCCTCTATGATATATTTGCCGCGATGTTTTCGACAGACAACCCCCAATGATAACATTAAATTTAGCATTATGTACCAAAAGTATTTTCTATTAACCATTTATTTTATATCTTCCTGCCAGGCAAAATATGTTCCTTGGAATTTTCTGGCATTTACCCCTTCCCATATTGCAATTAGAACATTCAGTTTTCACGAACTCGAAATCGTGTTTTTTTATACCTTCTCATACCTTACGTTATTTATACGTATACATAATGTCTCTATTACCTGCATTTCATGAAACTCAGCTTGTTGGTTGGTTGACTTTTAATGGCTCAAAACCTCTCAACTTGTGGATACGATACCAGCATTGTATAAATTATCAAGGTATTTTATACAATGCCGGGTTTCTCTTGTTGTCGGCAACAAAATTATTTCATTCCTTCTTTATCATAAGAAAGTTCAGTTTTCATTACTCATTAAAAAAATCAGTACTAAGTTTCAGAAGCATGTAACTTTTAAGGACTTTCTGTTTTTGAACTACTGGCAGCATTCGCTTTAACATCAGCTGGAAAAGATAACTGTTAAAAAATTCCTCATTTTAGCTCTTAGTTGATGGACGTTCACTCTTAACACAGGCTGGGAAATAGGAAACAGTAAAAATTAAGAAAATACAGTTACTTCTTAATGACCATAAGACGGTAATCAAGCAAATACAGTTACTTCTATAATGTATTTTGCTTTAAAGAGATCACAAAGCTGTCTGTTTTTAAAAAGATGTGGAATTGGAATCGTACAAAAATACTATATATTTGAAAAAGTTCTCTGTTATGACTCCAGTTTTTATTTGATTCCTTGTTTCTGAAATGGTTTGTAATAATTTTTCTGATACCATTTCACTCATGGAAAACGAAAGCTGGCGTGAATTTTTCAGTAATAAAAATAATCATTTTAGAAGTTAGATAATGAGTAACCTATATAAGTTTATACTGAAGAATACATGTGAAATAATCACTTGAAGATATTTCAATCCGAACAACGAAAGCGACGTTGATTATGTTATATATATTTTTTTAATTTCCTTCTTCTTTCAGTTTTAAAGCAACCGAATAAAAAAAAGAGTCTTTTTATAACATCAAAACGAGGGATACAAAGAATGTAAATAACGAATGATACATTCGGAAAAATTTATAACTAGGTAAGCTATGAATCTTCCTAAAAGTATCTTTCTTTTCTGAACGTATCTATTAAAAGACATATACCTTTACCCCAGGATGTTCGAAAAAGATGGGTATAGGCTTATTTTCTTATTGATCCCATGCATGTACTTACGAAATTTCTTTTAATAATATAGAGAATTTTACGAGAATATTTTCAGGCTAGAGGGTAAAAGACTCTGAAAAGAGAAAATTTGACTTTTCACATGATTTCTCTAGAATAGAAAGCCCGGCTAGAAATATGTTCATCGTATTTTAGTAAGTTAAATGCAAAAGATTTGAGTTTATGCGCAAGAAATTTTTAATTGTCAAACGAGTTACATTTATGTAGCAATTGTTCCCTAAATTTCCTTAAAAATTTAGGAAAAATTTCGGGAATAATTAATTTTGATCAAAAATATGCGTACAAAATTGATCTAAATCAGTGAATTTAATTTCGAATATCTGCATAAGTTTTGAACTCAAAAATACCAGGCTGATTATGTTAAACTCACTAAAGTGAAAAAACGCTTTTCTTGCTAGGCTTTTATCTCCACGTGGGTACACAGAAGGTAAGATTTTACATTTCAGTCTATTCTACTTCAATAGCTAAGACGTTCTTCTAAACTTCATTAACGGATGTAGAGAAACTTTGCGACTGGAAGTATAAAACAAGAATTGATACTTCTGATACCTTCCATAAACATTCTATAATATATGTTATTTAAATAATGTTCAAAAGTATTAGTTTTCACATTGTTAATGTTTTCTTAGCTTTCTTATTGTCGTAATATCATGCCCATTAATTTCTCAAGAAACAGCATTTACCAGAATTCGCGGATGAATTATTTTTAAAAAACTTTAATTACGCTTACTTTTTTATAATGAAGATATATTATTAATAAAAAAGTGATAGTTCTTTTGTTGCTTGTAATCGTTACGAATCGCACTACTTATCGCGTGAGTGACAGTTAATATCATGATATTTAATAATAAATAAAGTTAACTACACAATTTATTTTTTTACAATGTATTAAGCACGCAAAGTAACAATGTAGGTAAGGAGATTTCCTTTTTTTTTTTTTTTTTTTTTTTTTTTGTTCCCTTTTTTTTTTTTTTTTTTTTTGACATTATGTACTAAAGAAAGTGGAGAATGAGGCCTTTAATTATAATCTTGCAAATGAAAAATCAATGCTTACTTCTAAAGCAACTCATGTCTGAAAATGAGCGTTTTGCCGGTAATATATATATAAAAAAGTAATGAACTGTCGTCTACAAAAGAAGCAATGTTTGCTTCCGTGCAATAATATACTCAATAGTACATAGAAGCAATGTTTGTCTGCTTTTGTAAATAATATGCTCAATAGTATAGAAGCAATGTTTGTCTGCTTCCGTACATAATATGCTCAATATTACATACAAGTTCAATAGTACATAGAAGCATTGTTTGTCTACTTCCGTGCATAATATGCTCAATATTACATATAAGCTCAATAGTACACAGAAGCACTGTTTGTCTGCTTCCGTACATAACATGCTCAATTAAGGAATAATTTCAGTTTCAGTTTTTATTCTTTGGCCCATAAATACTGAAACACCCTTGATTCCTTAACAAAAGGCAGTTTAGTTACAAAAGTGTACACAAGAATTTGTTGTCTAATTCTGATGATGTGTGTTTATATAATAAACTTATATATATAAATTTGTATTTTATGTAAATAAATTGCATAATTTTACGGAATTTAATTTTTAACCTGGTTTTTCGCTTTGCAGTTTGTGAAGTCATTTAT